GGGGGGGGGAACTCACGGTCCGAAATCCAGAACCCCTTGAGGTTCAGGTCCAAAGCAGTCGGGTTCTCGTAGATATAGTTTGCAGTGTCTAGGGTATAGACTTGAGAGGGTTCCCCAGGTAGTGTAGGCTACGGGAACTCACAGGGAACATACATCCCGGCATACTATAGAGGATGAGTGTAAATCCAAGTGACTAGATTGGAAACCACGTACACTCTCCCCACTTAAGTAAAAGTTCTTCCCCTTGAGCTCAGAGAAGACTTCGAGGAATTGTTGGAAGAAACCAACGAGCTGCGCAGCAACTTCATCTTCGTTCTATAACCTATTTAGTATGAATGTGATCCTCAGGTCGAAAGCGGCATCACCGTAACGTCGGGGGTACCGACGGAGTACCCAGTTCCCACAGGCTGGTCGACCCAGAGTATGCTAGACAGATTGGTCCAGCTGTATTCATTTGGGGTAGGATATGCTTCGCCAGCCTGCCAGCTGATTGGCTGGGAAGAGCGGACATCCGAGTATCAGCGCACGATACCACATGACCGCATTCGCAATAATAGACAGAGACGCACGCCGTTCTCCTGTAGCAGCCCATCCATGGACGAACAGCCAGGTCCCCCATTCAGCCTACGAAATTGGATCAGGGAAATGTAACGTCACCAATGTCTGTGAAGACTCACCATAAGATGAGGTCGTCCAGGCTTCCCTCGGGCCCAGGAGGGAAGAACCAGAAGAAGAGCTATGGGTACGTTGCTTCAGCTTGGGCTGGGCACATAAGCAAGTATAATGCGCTAACGCGTACCTTTCGTGTCTCGTCTGGATCGCTACTGATCGGGAGCAGCCCCGCCCAGCTGGGTCCAGCATCCCAGTTCACCAACGGAATAGTGGATCCGTCCACATAAAATTCTGCCACAGGTCTCAGCACGCCCTGCAGATAACACCGGCTGGCAAGACTGACCGGACGCGAGAGGGTTCGTGAAAGTGATGTTCTGCACTGTGCCAGGACCGCCGCCCTCGGAGCGACGCTGGACCGGTCGGAGCTGTTTCGCGGCTTCAAGCTGCGCCTCAAACTGCTCTGCACGCCCGCGGAATTTGAGGCCCTTTGGTGCAGGAGGCCCCAGTGCGACGCTGTTGACTGAGAACAGCGCGACTGCCGTAAGCAATGCCCCTCGCAGAGATAACAACATTGTGTCAAGGTGTCAGTATGACGGACCACTTGTTGCAAAGGGTGGTTATATATCGCACAGGCCGCCGGCTGCCTCGTGCAGATAATGGAAGGTATACATTCGTGGACAGCGGTTGTTCGGAACCTCTTAACGGGATGCAATGGCGCCGAGGCTGACCGTGTGGATGGTGGTAAGCCGCATCGGACAGAAGGTGTAATGATGCTGCGTGGGCCCAAAAAACCATGTGGGTATGGGATTTCGGGACTGCAAGGGCCTCGAATGCACATGGCACCCTGCTTCGACGAGTGATTTTCCGGCTGGTCCGCACAGCTTGCTCGATGGATGGCTATCGGAAGCCATGCATTGCAACTGGAGAAGGGAACAAGAGCTTATTTAGTTTCCTCGGCTGCTCATCCGAGTGAAGAATGACCTTTCGGGACACACCTTCATTTCTATTGTAGTTTTTTGAAGCAACACGGTCCAGACGTCATAGTCGATTGTAGGGGATAGCGTGCGGTCATCTCGGAATCAACCTTGATGCAGAGTTGGCCGAGTTTTGAGTAATGTTTCCGGGGAAAAGGAAACATTACTTGAGGAAGAGGAGGAGGCGATATATTCGGCACGGGTATACGAACCCCGTCGTCTCGTGAGTCGAGCGTCAAAAGTGCTCAACATGCCACCGACGCTCATGGCAGCCGCTGTCCTCAGTGTTACGTCTTCGTCCCCCAGGCCGTGTTCCTACCATGAACGCTAGTGTGCGTTGTTGTATTTTTCCTATCCATGCCGCAAGAATCATCCCTATCTGCGGTAATTGTCAGTCAATACAATGACCAGATCAGAACTGCACGGACATGAGCAAATTGACCCCACGTGTGGCCTCAGCGTCCGGAGAGCAGGCCCGCTGGGTGCGCATTACGACAGAATTTTACGAAACGAATCTCATTCTCAACTCCTACGGCGAGAGCTCTCTGTCGCCAGTCGCCCCGTGGCCATAGCACGCGCCCCGGCGCTCGCCCAGCCAGTCAGCCTTACGGCACATCGGTCAGAGCATGCGTAGGAAGCCGACGCGCTGCGACAGCGCATGTAGGTATGGGGAGGGGTGAAAGGAGGAATGGTATGTAAGCGGTGAGACGCGGAGGAAGAGTTGGGCGACATTGCGAAGATTCGCGTGAAGGTGCGCCGTGTTGAGTGGACCGGCATGATCAGGCGCAAGTAGGCCTACACCAAAGCCAAGGTCAGGCACAATCGCTGCAGCTGACAAGCCACCTCCCCTGCCCAACGAATTAATGAACCCTGGCGCGGCGCACTGAATGAAGTCTAGTGCTGTCAGCACCGGTGAAGGTATATGTCGACGCGCTGAAGCTCATGTACGCTTGACTGTGCTCATCTCCCGCACAGCTTTGCGCCCAACCGTGTGCCTATTTGGCTGCCATCCCAGCTTGGGCTCGTCGTATGCGTCCTGTCTGAGGGGTGGGGTCTCCAAGATACCCCGTGCCGTGCGCATTACGTTTGCGAACCGCATATAATGCACTATCATTGTTGCAAGCCTATCGTATCTAGACGAGCGCATTTTCTCCGTGACTCGTTGCTCTCATCGTTGGGCGTCACCATGTGTCTTCTACTACTCGGCTCTGTGCGCATATCGCACTTAGTTAGCTTATTTCTATAGTACCCTTCGTGCCTTCGCTTCTACTGCGAGCTTTCTGGTGGATTCAATAAGGAAAGAACAGAGTGAGTATTCTTGACTGTCAACCAATATTGTTTGTACACTATCCTCTGCATTGTTGTATATAGAACCTGCCGCATGTGCGCGTGCTACGCCTAATCAGCGCTCACTCAAGGTCCTAGCGTTGCATTAGGTAGAAAAAAGTCACCGGAAGAGGTGCTTGATGGATGAGTCCAATTTTAGATTTGTACACAAAGGCCTGCTAAACTTGTAGTATGTAGAAGTAATATCATCTACCAGAGAGGTATTTGAACCAACTCAAATACCCTCATTGCGGGCAATGCCCAATGATAGGGCACTGAACATGGAGAAAACAATTGCCGCAGACAGCATTTTTTGCCATGTTTCGAGCTTAAACATGCTATTCGGAGACATTGCGGAAACATCTGTCGAACATGGGTATTCGGTTAATTAGAGGCTGCCGATCACCCATGTTTGGCAGTCAAATACTCCCCATGTTGCAAACACAACAAACATTCGTTCTCTCTTGCGAGCTGTGTTCAACACATACTCACCACTCGAACTTGCCTTGCAGATTGCATATACAAGAGAGCGCTGATGAATTGCATGCACAGCCACGAAATGACTGTTTTAATGATATTCAAGATTTGTGTATCGTTAGATTCCTGCAATAAGTGTGATGTTCACATTGATACACCCCACTTGCCAGTCACAGGTGTCTAAACCCCGTGTCTATCGAAGTCTCTTAGGGTGTATCTCTGAAGCCCATGAGATACTGCATGATATGCATTGCAGCCTACGTGAGCCAAACACGGGAGAACGCTTCCGTCAACAATGCTACTAGCGATTCAACGATTGACTTACCCAGGGCGAGTTTTGCGGTACCCTGGTACACTCGGCATCAGACCAGTCAGGAAGCGATTCCAACGCAGAAACTCACATATGCCCGCTGAATGCAACCTCATAATATGTCAGACCGCGCTCGGAGTGCATTCTTCCGACTGCACCCACGCCGGGAACCACAAGCGTATCGTCTTCAATGGGCGTCTGGAATCCCTGCACGCCATTCCCTGTTCAGATATCGTAGTCAGCTGATGAGGCTACCCAGTCAAAGTACGAGGGAAGCGTACATGTCATGCTGTCGTCCACGATGAACACGTATATATCAATACACCCCAGCCAGGACAAAGCCACTTACTTTTGGATGGCGAGGCGCACTCTGACACGAATATAACGCGTGAGTCTTGGATCCGACCGACAGTAAAGCGTCTCACCCTTCCGGCATGAGCACGTAATCCAGCAGGCCATGTACGACGACAACGCGCTCGCTCTTCTCGATCAAGTCCGGCATGATGCTGAGGAACGGCGGCACACTCGTATCTGTGTCGTTGACGAACACAGGCGCATCCGAGCACACCGTCCAGTTGGTGTCGGCTGGAACGTGCACAGTCCTCTTGACATCGTCGCGATCAAAGTAGAGCGGGGAAACTTGTGTCTCCATCACTTGTGTGCTACCCGGAAGGGGGTCAGCCTGCACCGTACTTGGAAAGGTAACGACAGACGCACGGGGCACCGAGCACGTCCCATAAGCGTGGCCACTATTTTACAGAATAAATTATTGAAAGAAGGGAGGTACCATTTGTGAAGGGCATACCGTGTTTAATATTTGATAAACGTTGAATCCTGAATTCATAATCATCGTCGCATTGTAGATGCTTTCCCACAAGTTAATGCACTCTTCTGTGTCTTGCGGAAGCGGAAAGGGGGCCGGTTTGGGGGGATACGTGATGTAGGTTTCCAGATAGCGGGTATATCCGCAGCTGTCGTCAACGGAGTCTAGCAGCTCGACGAACGATTGGCTGAAAGACGAGTGAGCACAATGTGGGTTTCGAGACCAGATGCATACTTGAGTGAGAAGACGTTTTCATACTGATGCATATATTTGACGGCAGGAACTGAGTCTTGCAGATACCTGTGCGTGACCAAAGCTGGTGCGTATGATTATCATCCTTCAACAGGCAGATACAGAATGGTAACGCACGATCGGAGATCCAGAACCCTTTGAGGCTGAGATCTAAAGCTCCAGGGTTCTCGTAGATATGGTGTGCCGTGTCTAAGACACTCACATATGTCGATTCGGAATGTGCATAGTAAGCGGACAAGAGAACTCACACGGGACATACATCCCAGCATACTGCCAGCATCCACAATGGTCAGACTATTGTACGCGACAAGTTCAAGCTGAGTTAGATACTTACGCTTTCTCCGCTAATATAGAGATTCTTTCCTTTGAGCTCGGAAAAGACCTCAAGAAATTGCTGGAAGAAGCCAACAAGTTGTTCCGCAAGTTGGTTCTCATTCTGCAATTGCGGTTCACGCAAGGTGAGTTGAGTCAGTCAGACCCTGAGCAAGAAGAGCATCACCGTAATATTCGGAGTGCCGACAGAGTACCCAGTCCCTATAGGCTGGTCAACCCAGAGTACCCCGGAGAGATTCGTCCAGCTATATTCGTTAGGTGTGGCACGCGCCTGGCCAGGCATCCAACTGATCGGCTGATGGAGTTGGCAGTTTGCGGCTGCATGCAGGACTGTGCAAAAACGATACGTACACCGTTCTCTTGCAGGAATCCTTCCGTAGAGGAGCAACCAGGCCCTCCATTAAGCCTGGCACATTACAGTCAGGATATAATCCACTGTGGTGCGCAAAACGTACCATAATATGAGGTCATCCGTACTTCCCTGGGGTCCAGGAGGGAAGTACCAGAAGAAGAGCTGAAAAGACGAGCCACATCGTCCATGTGAGTGGGGGGGTCAACTTTCAGGAAGTCCTGCCTTGCCTTTCGAGTCTCGTTAGGATGGGCGCTGATCGGCAGCAACCCTGCCCAGCTAGAACCTACATCCCAGTCTACGAGAGGGATCTTGGAGCCATTCACGTAGAACTCTGCCGCATATTCTTCCATAAATCCAAGCGCAAATGAAGCGTGCGTGGGTCGCTTACCGGATGCTAGAGGGTTTTCAAACATGGTATCTTTGACTGTATCAACATCGGAAGGCCCTCGATTGAATGCGAGAGGTACTTGAGCATCCAGTTGATTTGCATAGCTGCGGTGTCTCAAGGTCTTGGAGGCCTGTTTCTGTAATGCAACGCTACTGGTCGTCGAGAGGGCGAACACTAGGGTCAGTAAGACCCTACGTAGAGGAAGGAACATCGTGTAGTAGACACGGATGTGGGTTCGGCAGGGTCACTCGGGCAATAGATGGTCACGTAGGCATCGCCTGCGGCCACCTAGTTATATATCGTAGACTATACCCACGATAGAGGACGGAAGAATTATATTTTGCCAGTCCACTACTGTTCGCTTCCACCTGGCCAGTTTGGAGAAGTGGCGATTCCAGGATTTCAATCCTGCTTCGATTAAACGTAAGCGGGAGGACCATGGGGCTGCTTCGGTGCCAGTAGCGCTACTCATTTGACAAGTATAGATCACTTCTTTCGGCTGCCTAGCATACGTTTCCCCTAAGGCTAGCATTTTTCTAGTCAAATACAGTAGCGGCATAAGTGGAGACACCCAGTGGCAGCGACAAACGGATAAGCTTCGCATTTTCAAGCGCTAGTTTGAACCACTTCCTTTGACCCTGCCTCGCTTTTCGCTTTGTCTTCATCTGACATCAGGGTTCACTGCCTTTTTATCACACAATTATACTTTAACGCTAGGAATGCCGCTGCCACTCTGGTCCCAAAATACCAACCAGCTCAATTTGAACACAAATGAGCGTCGACATCATGCCTCAAGGCACTAAGTTGGTCTTCCAATCCTCCCAGACTTCCATAAGGGTGGATACAATGAGGATGGTAGTGCCGTCGTTCGTGATGTTTTGGTGGTCCGGATTTGGACGTAATATGCACTGGCTTAGGATAGGTCTTTTTCTTCGTGGCGTAGTGTGCAGCTTACAGTCTTATCCAAGCCCTTGGGACACAACAAAGTTCGTACAGCATTGCAGATTCCTATTCATGTGAGGGTCATTCATTGGCATTTTGAATATTCAGCGCACAGAAATACCTTCTGCGGGAGTCAAAATAGACATGCGTACATCGGACGGCTTAAGCTTGATCTGATACAAATGAAGCATAACGGTATGTAGTCGCGTGATTATAAGATTCAACGACGAAACATACTTTGCCATGAAATACGCATCGCTGTTATTGGTAACAGGACGATGAACAACTATCGCGGACGCTGCATCGTTGAGCGTACGTCCCAAAGCGTCGATGAGTCCGCCCGCTAGGAGCAGCTCTAAGCCCGGCTACAGACTCCGAGTCTCCTCCGCTGCTCCGCGTCGGGGTCGGGGTGCAAACACGGTCAGGTGATGCGGGGCTAGTCGGCTTGCCGTGCTTATCTGCAGCGCCCCCTTACCCTCTCAAGTCACACTCGCCTCCGGATACGCCTCTTTCTCCCTGCATGCTCCCTTTCCGCCTGCTCTGGCGCACTTTGATTCTCCCGCACCCTCAAGAGCTCGACGACAACTTTAACTTTGTATCTCGCCCAAGCCGGAGCTGATATCAGCTGAACCCCCGCACGCCCATAAGTCGGAACAACCCGCATATCATAAAGTTGATCTTTAATTCTTCCAGCGATGCGCGCGTCTGCACCTGGGCTCTTTAGTGTCACTCGAGTCGTCAGCTTTGCGACATCGCTGCTCGTTGCGCTTGCCTCGGGAACAAACTATGTGCGTGCTGCAGCTGGCGAGAAGAGGGACTTGATGTATTGATAGTGCGTACGGCCGTTCAAATTGTTAACACTAGGTATTTTCAGGTGAGTCCAGTTCAATTTGATAGCCTGTCTGCGGTGAATGCTTCCCATTGCTGTCTTTGTGACGTTGTCATCGTATGATCGTGGTGGGATAGAAGCCCAGTCTCCGAGCCCTACTCTCCAATGCTGGCGAGGAATAGTGATGTTGGGCTGGTGGCCTCTGCAGATTAGCATCTTCGATCACTTGTAAAAGCGTTCTAGATCTTGCAGAGACATCCAGATAGCGGTGATTGGTGGTTATATGAGCGGACGTTGAGCATTGTGTGCAACATCCGCTGTGTCTATGGAGTTCTGCGGGGCGGGGCTGGTTGGCTTCCTCCTGGGCAGTGCGCTGCAAACACATTGTTTCAGCTCATTTTCATCGGAGCCTTGCCTTCAAACATGTTACTTTTGTTGGCAGGGGCTTGCTTCATGCTCGATGACGCTGCCTCACATTGCCACTTATAGTTCATGATGGGATGGTCCTGGGACTTGCCTGCACCTGCTCTGTCGAAAGGCTCTCAACATTCTGTATTGGAGAAATGGTCATGTTGCATTTATAGTGTGGACAATTGGACATACTACGATATTATTTCGAGAAGCACACTAGTCTCATAGATCATTCCTTGATCTTGGTTATATGCGGCTGTTTAAGTTGCCCAAAGCCAGCTGAACTAACAGTCTTCAACGGGACGTGTGACCATAGTTTTACGACATAGATATGTATGAGCATTTTTCCTATCATTTTCAAGTGGCTACCCTCTCTATGATTTGCCATGAACTAATTTGGTGTTGGAACTATAGCATATGGACCACAATTAGGATCACGCCTTGGGCTATCTCACACACAACTGAATATCATAGGGCTCTCGGGAAATGGTCAGTCATCAGCAGAACCTATTCGTCATTTGACCTTACGCGGAACGCTATAGTTGGCGTGTATGGCTCTGCTCCTCTCTTGGGACGGATTGTTGATACACGAGGCCCACGCGGACTGCTTTTCATGGCATTCTTTGCACTCATCATTGGGTACTCCGGCCTGCGGTACTACTATGATAGTGGACTCCCGGATGGGGTCAGCAGTTTGAACTTCTTCGGTATCTGCATGCTCGCATTCTTAAGCTTCTTGACTGGAATCGGTGGCAACGGGGGTTTGGTAAGTGGGATGAACTCCACCGCAAAGAGTTGGCCCGATAGAGCGGTAAGCGCACTAGAAATTCAGACGAATAGCTCTGCCTCATATACGTTACAGAGAGCCACCATGAACGGCATTGTCATCTCTGGATTCGGCCTTTCAGCATTCCTCTTCTCCACGATTGCCCATATCGCCTTTCCTGGAAATACTTCTGACTTCCTGCTTGTGCTCGCGATTGGGACCTCGCTGCCTATGGTACTTGGATTTTTTCTCGTGCATCCGATTCCGCTACCTTATTCTGAGCTGAACCACTCCACCTCGGACGACGGGCTCGACGACGCGTTTGATTCGCAGGCAAGCATCACTGCCGCTCCCCCACCGCTTTTTCAGCAGGAGAACAACAGCCACACGCACTTACTCTCGCCCAGCTTGCTTGCGGTAGAGGATGATGGCGAGCTATCGGATGGTCCTGTTGACGAGGAGGTGGGGTTCCGCCATCCGGCGCGCGAGGCGACGGCATCCTCAGATTACTTCGTTCGGCCAGCGGGCGAGTCGATGGCGCTGAGCCCGACGCGCGGGGGCCGAACTAGGTCGCGCAGCACATTCTCCGTGTCGCGCCGGAGCTTACGGAATGCTGAGTTAATGTCGGCCCACTTGGACGGGCCGAACGTTCATGGGAAGGGCCTATTCACAAGTACAGACTTTTGGGTGCTCTTCACGATCACTGCATTGCGTAAGTTTTGTGAGATTCTCGAGATTTGCTCACTCGTTCATACATGGTTTTCGGTGCAGTGAGCGGGACCGGATTAATGTGTGCGTAGCGAGCTTTCGATCGCGCTATGAGGTCCAGCTTGACGAGAATGTGTGCCAGATATCAACAATGTTGGCTCAATATCCCAAGCTCTTTTCGCAGCAGGGAATCCCAACTACGATGAAGCGACAGCTGCACAATGGCAAGCGACACAAGTGTCGATTGTCAGCGTCATGAACTGCCTCGGACGATTCTGCATCGGTAAGTGGCACGGTGCGCAACCACCGATTCAGGAGCCAACACGAATGAACCTGCAGGCATTCTCGCGGATTTCTCGAAGACGTTCCTGCGGTTGCCGCGGTCGTTCTGTATCACGCTTATTGCATGTGTGTTCGTCGTCTCGCAAGTGACGTGCTTCTATATCGACACCGTCCAGAACCTCTGGAAGGCGAGTGCGCTGCTGGGGCTCGCGTACGGTGCCATGTTCGGGCTCTTCCCCACGATCGTCATTGAATGGTTCGGACTGCGTGCGTCTCCCTGGCTTGGCTGCTCATACTGTCGACTGATGTGATGCCCAGCACATTTCTCGGAGAACTGGGGATTCGTAGCCCTTGCGCCCATGTTGGGCAGCAACGTGCTCTCCATTGCGTTCGGGCGCAACCTCGACGCGCATGCGTCGCCGTCTGCGCCGACGTCGAATGCGACGGCGCACCCGGGATTGGCATCCCACGCGGGGATCCTTGCCCGGGCAGGTCTGCCGTCGGAGCGACAATGCTTTGACGGCCGCGCATGCTACGTGGACAGCATCAGGCTAACCATCGGAGCGTGTTGCCTCGCTCTCGGCCTCGCTCTGTACGCTGGTTGGCGAGATCGGCGGCGGCAGGAAAAGATCACGCTGAAGGGCGCAGAGGTCGTCCCTGGCCCGGAGGTAATTTGGGAGGAAGAGGAGAGCTAAAGAACATCAACGAGTAGGACGATTCATTCCGCATGGACGACGAGCGGTGTATTTACGTAGATGAGAATTTGTTTAGTGGGCACGTCTAGAGATTTGTAGATTATATAGTACTCGTCAACAACACTATTGACAGGCGCACGGTATATGAATCAGACGCATTCCGCAGTGACATTTAGGCCAAAGCTGTCATTGTTCGTCGCGAATTTGGATGCATCATCATCCTGAATCTTTCGAACGTCACGAGTCAGCCATCAAGTGTTGCGAGAGTATGCGTACTTACCCATCTCAGTATCTGCAATTGATGTACTCATGTTTGCTGAGGGCTGCGAAGCGAAGTGTACCGGAGTTACTGCATATGCACCATAGATTGTGGCTGTGCCTCGGGCATGGATGGTCTGTCTACTATTCATCTGGAAAAACTGACAAGCCTAGGTAGACCTCAGTAGGAGTGATAGGTTGTAGAGGCCTCAGAGGCAGGTCCCTGTATATGTAGAGTGCTGTAGTTCTCATCAATCTACCTATGTCCTATGTAGGACATGGAGAGCTGTAGGCTCATAGATTTGTAGTCTTATAGGTTACATAGATCTGATACAATTGGTCTGTTTTGGGCTGGGGTTTGTTACAGCATGAGGGGGGGGTTCTTTTTCTTCTCCTAACTATTTGTTGTTGACCCTGTAACCGTATGACTGATCCCATCACTTGGTGTGTTTCACCT